GGTTCAAAACATACTCACGCTGCACCTTTGAGGCTACCCCAATGTTGTCACTGTCCACTTGTACACTCTTCCATCTCAATACGAGGGTTGTATCGCAGCAACCAGCGGTTTTCTTACGTCACAGCTCCATCCCATTAGCTCAAGGGAATTTATCTGATTTGCTGGATAGGCTGGGCAATGCAGAACTAAGGGCCGCTAGAAACCATCTGGAAGGCAATGCAGGCTCACGTGGATGAACGTATTGCCTGACATCGGCTTTGTGCAGCAGAGAACACAGGCTACTGGGGCAGAATGGCGGTTGACACTTGATAGTCGGATAACACGGGACAGATCGCCAACTGCGGCAGTGCTCTGCATTTGCGGCTCATGGATGCCGAATACGGGGGTGCCCAAAAGGGTACCGATCTGAGCAAGCCATGGATGAGCTAAGGTGCTATAGTCATGAAGACAGCGGTTCGCTGTTGATGAGAGCGCATCTACCACGTAACCGCAACGTATAGATGAGGACAGAATGGCATGAGGTGTACTCCGTATGGCACCATGGAATAGCGCATGAAGGAAACTGAGAAGCATTCAAAGCTCTGCGGAGCCTAAGAGAACAAAGCAACAGGAGCAACTCCAACATATCTTGCTCAGCCCTTCGATGTGGAAACCATCCATCCGTGGTTTGCGCCCGATTGCCCACCAAGTGGGAAACCAATACCTACATAGCCTGGAGGAGCAGGAGACTAGACTGCTTAGCGCCTAGCCGGAAGAGATCCAGCGGATATCGCCAAGTGCTGCGCCCCACATGGATTTGCGGAGATACATCACGGTTGGTGCTGCGCGGTAGCTACTTACCTCATACAGGCAGCTTGGTGTGAGGCATTAGAGAGGTACTACTGGTAGTGTACCTTATGACGGATGAGCGATCGATAGATAGGTAGGTAGGTAGGCAGTTTAGATCTGTACTGCACGGGAAGAGAGAGCTGCCTATTGCTATTTAAACCCCGCAACATCCCCATCTCCCTTCACTACGCAATACACTCCAAGTCTCACGATCATCAATCGTCCCCTTCAGTGTGGCGGCCTGAACCTTAAGTTGATTCGTACTTGAGCTTTTCATCCCTTATCCCTCTGGAGCACCTTATACTGCACTCTTAGCAATCAGTCCCATTATCTGGTCGCTGTTAGTCAACTTTCATACAGGCGAACACTACAGATAGCCACGATGTCCACCGAAGCGAACATTCCTAACGGAAAGGCACCGGTGCAAAGCGCGCCAGGCCACAGCGCCCACACGCGCGGACCCGTGGTCGTTCAGCCAGCGCGCCTTGCTGATTTGCAGCCAAGTTATGCCCAACAGATCCAGCATAATGCCGATAACCCGGATGCGCATAGCTGGTACGCTTCCTTGAGTAAGTCTTGGCCTTTTTACTCTTCGCCTGATGTCGTCTATTTACTCATACTGGTTGAAATATAGTCCATACATTGGGTGAGTGCATTGGTGGCTTGGGAGCTATCCCATGCTGCATCTGCTGCCCCAACCCGTTCAAGCCAGTGGCGCAGGGCGAGGTTGGTCTGGTCACCAAATTCGGACGGTATGGAATACTTGCCTAAAGTGCGACAAATGGTATACTTACTCCTGTGGTAGATTCGAGCGTGCGGTCGATCCTGGTCTGGTCAGAGTTAACCCGCTGAGCGAACATCTTACGACCGTCGACGTTAAGATCCAGATCGTCGAAGTACCCCGCCAGGTTTGCATGACCAAGGACAATGTCACTCTCAATCTGACCTCGGTTATCTACTACCAAATCATTTCGCCTCACAAAGCAGCGTTCGGCATTTCCAACGTACGGCAAGCTCTGATCGAGCGCACACAGACAACTCTGCGGCATGTTATCGGAGCGAGGGTTCTGCAGGATGTGATTGAACGCCGCGAGGAGATCGCCCAGTCGACATCTGAGATCATCGAGGAGGTTGCAGCTGGATGGGGCGTCCTAGTCGAATCGATGCTCATCAAGGACATCATCTTTAGCAATGATTTGCAGGACTCGCTCTCCATGGCAGCGCAGTCCAAGCGTATTGGAGAGAGCAAGGTCATTGCTGCTCGTGCCGAGGTGGAATCCGCCAAGCTCATGCGCCAGGTATGTTATACTCTCATCACCACGACAAGTCCGCCAGAGCTAACGCGAGAACCTATCTAGGCTGCGGACATTCTGTCCTCTGCTCCTGCCATGCAAATCCGCTATCTCGAGGCCATGCAAGCCATGGCCAAGACCGCCAACAGCAAGGTTATCTTCTTGCCCGCCGTCAACCAGACGGTGCAGCAACAGCTGGCTGCAGCAGATAATGCCGGCGAGGGTCCAAGCAATTACGGAGCCGGGCAGCCTGTACAGGCGGACGACGGGTTCCAGCGCGCGATCAATGCCCGAGTGGTGGAAGATATCTGAACATGATGAGGCCGGTGTCTTGATCCAGATCAGATAATGCTGAAAATCCATTGACGCCATCTGTCACGGATGAGTACCTGCGTTCTTTTGCTCTACCTTAATTCCTCTGATTCGACCGACGATACCCACTTTCTTTCATGTTGATTGACTGCCTGATGCGCTTAAATCCGTGGTTTGCTGGATAGCACGGCTATTTCCTGGAATCTTTGATGATGACTGCACTGAAATAACTTGCTTCTCTGCGTTCCGCAATGAATAATGCCTATACTTAATTGAAGCTTTCTTTGGACAATTCCATTCTTCCAGTATGCCATCAACGAAACATATTGCCGTAGGCGGTGAAGATTAAACATTGACACCGATGGAAGCACCACTGGAGCTGTCAACAAGGGCGGCACATAACGATACAGAAACTCTAGATTAACCGATGTTGGTCGCGGGTCTGGAGCGAGGAATTCTTGTCATATTCTAGTCTTGCTCCAGTGAAAGTTACAAAGAACGAGCTCCCGTTCCCAGTCCTCCCCGGTAAACGCTCCAACACAATGTCCTCGACACAGACTCCCAGTCCGGCTCGCGCAGCTACCCTGACGTCAAACACACGATCCTTCCAAGATGTGACCCCTGATTATACCGACCCATCCTTTGATCCAGCCGATTTCCTCAACGATGTCCTTCCCCCGCTGACGCTGGCGTCATCGCAATCCCGCGGCGCGGGCGCCGTTCCCCTCGCGGAATTGTCCGCTCAAGTCCAATCGATTCTCTCTCAGATTAATGCGCAGAATGTCCGGCTTTCCAATCAACTCACACAACTTACCGATGAGATTTTGCGGAGTGGAGGGCGTCTAGCTTATGAGGTTGAGGTGCTGCGGGGCGAAGCGATTGGGCTTTCGGATACGTTGACCGAGGTCCTTCAGCCGGACATTGCCCAGTTTGTACCCGAGGGTCTACAGACTACTATGGACAGCGACAAAGACGTTTCTGGGGCTTCCCAAGAGGGGGAAGAGGAAGAGGCAGCGGCAGAAATGGGCCAGGATGACAAGGCCACGGTCGCTGATCCGGACTACATCACGAAACTACGGATGCTGAATCAAGTACGGTCGCGATTGGAGGATGTGGTTCAGACCTTTGGAGATGCCATGGAGTGGCCGTTACCGCCGTCGGAGACCTCCCTGACGTCGTCATTCATCTCGGTCTCCGCCCCTCAACCTGGGCCTGAGAGCCAGAGTCTTGAGGAGAAGGGGCAGGAGGTCGCAAAGAAGCTCCGGAACGAGATTAAAGAGTTGCTCAATACGAATGGTGGTGGACAAGCAGGTTTGGATGCAGCTACGAAGCGGTTAGAAGCGCTACGGGAGTTGGCGACGATCTGGAAAGGCTCCGCTGAAGAGAAGGCGCGAAATCGTTTCCTGGATAGTCTGGCGAAGATTATAGATGACCGGCGCCGGTCATTGGAGAACCAGGGCAGTTCGGATCAGTCCCAAGCGCGATCGGCGTCGACGAGAGGGAAGACGATGGGCCATCAACGGCAGGAAAGTGAGGGCCCTGGAGGTGGCATCTTCAAGAATCTACAGCGCCTGCGTGAGGAGATATACCTGGAATGATGCGCTTATAGTTATATAGGATTGTGTACAGATTCAGAGAAATATTGTGTATACAGACGTGCAAACCTGGAGTTCTCGCTGAGTAACTGGACCAGAACACTGTCACACGGAGGCCATCTAGACAGCCCGGAGTACTGAGTAGATAGAGGCTAGACTAAATGCTGATCTGATGAAACCACCATGCGCCAAGCCTGGCCAGGTATTAATCGTCCCTGAATCCCAAACGTCTTTTTACCCGGGACCCGAGGGGCGATGACGCGGCAAGGGCAATAGAAGACAATCAATACAACGGACTCCAATACTGGTGGACAGAGGAATATAAGAGAAACTCTTTGTAAAATTTGATGTTTGAAATGACCCCCGAAGCGAAATTAAATGACGACAAGCTACGGAGTAGATAATAAGAGTCGTACGCGGCATAGCGTCGGGCGATCGCATCAAATATGGCGACGGATGGATCTTGGTCCACGCCTATCAGGAGAGCTCCACCGGGACGATGTAAATCATTTCCTGCTCCATCACACGGAGTACCACAGTCGCCATGCCTGCTAAGAGCCCGTGGCTTTTTGCAACGTGCGCTTTTTATCTTTCACTTCATCTTTAAACCTCATATCCGACGCAGATGATTGATTAGGGCCCGACGACTTCTAGAGCTGTATAGGCTGCTCACCATCCAACCCCCTATCGCATTACACTGCGTCGTCGTCATTGACTTCTGTTCCATTGGCGCAAACAATATGGTACATGGCTTGATTGACTGTTGAGCGCTCCTCTCCTCCAATCGCACAATTGACGACTATTACGGCTGTAATCCCTCATTGTCTTCGCTCGCCCTCGAATATCTCAATGCAGGAATGCCTATCTCGAGCACGACCTCCGTTTATAGTGGTTGATACCAACGTTCCTTTTCCGCTCGGCTCGAGCTGACACTGCGACTGATTGTCATCCGTTGAACGACAGTGCGGCCAGAATGGCTACCTTCCGCGGTTTCGCCCCCTGGGGCGATCAGTATAACTCCGTGCGCTCGACGGCGACGACGCTTCTGCAACGAGTCTATCTGTATGGTCGACCGAGGGCTCGTCCGGCCAGGGCCCTCATTCTCACCCTCGCCGCATGTTTTTTCCTTTACGTTTGTCTCTCAGCGCCATTTAGACAGGTATGTTTTCTGGTTACATCAGGTTGATCTACGACTGACACTAGCTGTCTATATAGACCTCCGTCAATTACTGGCTTAAGTATCCCTCATACCATCCATTCGGTGGCCGCCCCGAAGACACACCCATGATCAACACTGGCGGACCTGCTCTAAGTCGAAATGACACTCTACCGAACAGTCTGGAGAAAAACAACCCTTCTTTTCACCTTGTATTGCCCGCTGGGCAGAAGAGCGCCGCGCTGTGTCGCACAATAACATCCGCAATGATCTTGAATTACCCCCCACCTACTTTAGTCCAGTACGGCAGAAAGCTCCCAAGCGGATCCTCCGAATATGATTACGTGGTGGACCGTGTGACGGGCATATACAACTTTTTGCAATACACCCCGCACGTGCGAGACGGCGATTTTGTCCTCATCGCCGATGGCTATGATGTTTTCTTCCAGTTACCGCCGGAGGTGCTCATCCAGCGGTTTCAGAATATCCTCCGAGAGGATAATGCCAAGTTAAGAAAGAAATACGGCCTTGCGAAGGAGTATCATCCTTACCGCAAAGGCCTGGAGGAGGCCTTGCAGAAATACTCTCAGAGAGTGCTATTCGCCGCAGGCAAGGAGTGCTTCCCCAACATGACCGTGGACGCCGGCTGCGTCACCGTACCGCAGTCCAGCTTGCCCCCGGATGCCTACGGGTGGAAGACCGATATTCACCCGGAGGGACACCTGACCCGACCACGGTGGCTGAAGCCCGGTACGGTGATCGGCCAGGCTGCCGACCTGAAGTTAATATACGCCGAAGTACTGCGCTTCGTGGAGGAGAACCGGCACAACCGCAGTGACTATCTGGCTCTAACCCAGATGTACGGACGCCAGGAGTACGTGCGAGAGCTAGAAAGACGGAGAAGTTCCAACTGGTTCAACGAGTGGGTTTACAGACTAATTGGCATTTCCGAGGCTGCGAATATCACAGGTGTGAACCCGCACCTTGAGACAGGTCATCGCTACGAATACGGAATCGGCGTTGATTTCGAATCGCGTCTATTCTTCAACACACACAAATCGAAGAAGGATGTCGAATGGCTCCAATACCACAATATTCCCCTGACATCTTCCGTCCAGATGAAGCACGGCGTTCCTCGAGAGAGACGTCTGCTGCTTCCCCCCGATCTCGCCAGTCCGAGACTGCGCAATCCCTTCGTCCAACCCTGGTTCGGCAAAGACGAACAGGTCAAACCAGAGTTCAACTCTACCCTTGACGCTCTTCCAAATCCACGAAATCATACATGGCGTAACATGCCCTTGCTGACGAATATCCACTCGGCGTCTGTGCCGGCCCTGATCCATCTCGACGAGGAAAAGCCAGTCAAGGATGACAAAGCGTGGCCGGTGAAGCACTCCGAACGATTGATACGAGATACCTGGTGGTACAACATGTGGTACCAACCGTGGGCTCGCGCCCTTCTCCGCAAGTACATGCGTAGCCCTACTGGATTCGATGCTGCCCAATCTGCATTGCTGGGAGGGCAAGACTGGTGGGATATGCGCGGCGGCAAGGGAGGCGTTTGGACGGACAAGGGAGAGTGGCTCGACTATGCGGAGGTCTGCACGGGCTTCGAAGGAGAGGTTTTCGACGATGATCTGGGGCAATGGGGCCACGAAGGCGGGGACCCGGACGAGCCTGTTTACAATCAGTTCGGCAAACTGGTCAAAGGCAAAGGTGAACAATGAGAACAAACTTGGTCAGGGGAAAGATGACTCTGCGGACAGACAACCTGGTCGACCGCAACGATGACTTTAATAGTCTGGCCAGAGTCCCCTTCGTGCCTAGCTACGGCACATGACCAAGAAGCGAAAAACATGGCCCGTCTTCTGTCTCTGCATGTATTTTGACATCTTTGCACATACGCTTGCGGCTCCGTTGCCGGTTGGTATAGTCAGCTCATTGTCTGACGATCTTGCATTCTCGGTGTTTTGGAGTCGATTTATCATTGCCTGTTTTGGACTTCCATTTTGAAGCAACCTGATTATGGGTCGAGCACAGTTGACCTCTGTCCTTCCGCAAAAGCCATACTACATCGCCAGATACCAGTCGTATACCAGATAGACCAGTGAATAGACACAGTACAAGACCATTACATCCTTAAAATCGTGCGTAGATTCGTTGTCATACCATATCACCCATGCCCATCTACCCAACACTCCCCGTCCTCCCCTTCGACCCTGACCCTAACGTCTCCCGGATAATAGCCAGTATCTGCGCCACATCATCCTCCGATAGCCTCTCCTCCCGCTCCTCAATCACCGTATCCAGCAGTGCAAGCGCCCCGTAATCCTCCTCACTCAACCCCCCACCCCCTGATTCCATACCTGCCTCCTCCCCACCCTCATTCCCTCCTTCCACCTCATCAACCTCCATCCCATCCTGCTCTCCCCCCTCGCCTTCCTCCCCATCAGCCCGCGCCCCCGCGGAGGATGTATCCAACCCCACCCCCAGATTCACAATCATAACCACCTCCCCCTTCGTCAACCCAAACGGCTTCAGCCGCGTAACCAGCTCGCGGAGCGCGAGGTCGATGGGAGTAGGTGTACTCGGCTGCACGGGCGGTACCGTCGGGGACGCACCCGACGATGGCTGCTGTTGCGACTGTGGCGGTTCGCCATGTATATAGGCTGGGTATTTGAGGAGGTGCGGGGAGAGACGGTGGATGTAGTTGTGGATCTATCCGTCAGCGTCGGCGTTAGCATTACCCCTCTTGTACTCTATCTAGAGGGGAGGGGGACCTACCTCTCGAACGACTGTATTGTGGTCGCGGAGATCAGGACTAGGAACCCAGTTCCGGGAGTTTGGGGGAGGGTTCGGGGGTCGTCGTGGTGGGTTGGCGGTTATATAGGCGAGGACCTCGATGTTGGTGAGGACGGCGCTTTGGGGGTCGATTATCTGTACGGGGGTCAGTTAGATATTGTGGATGGTAGGTGGAGTAGATTAAGAGAGCTTGCCCTCATGATGTATGACTGTGGTATGTCTGCATTGAGTGATTTCTGGGTATATAGCTGTGTTTTGTGCTGGGTGCTTTGGCTGGAAAAAGTTGGTGATGGCGGGGATGCTTCTGTTCTGCCGGCAGATAACCATGGGCGGTCTGGTTACATAGGCAGTTGTGTTTGACATATTGCTTATTACTGAGGACTGAGGTAGTACTAGGGAAACGTAGGCTAGTGAGATAGACTACTGACTACTTGAAGATTGATATGAACATATTATTCCTGAATTGTACTGCCTTGTACCAATAAGCACCTCTGCGCCATGGATAGACCAGCAAAATCGCATCCTGAAATGCCACCCAAACAAGTAACTCTCACAAGAAAGGAAAAAAATAATCAAAATGACAAGCAGCATTGAACCCACAATGTGTGATATCATACAAAGATTGATAAAGCGATCGATCCACGTAAACTTTTCTTTTCAGATCATTGCATGGCTTATTCCTCTCCCTTCTTCTTCTTCTTCTTTTTCTTCTCGCCGTTGTCGGCCTCCTCGCCGTCATCTGATCGCTTACGCTTCTTCTCATCGCCTTTGGAAGCCTTCTTGGCCTCCTTCTTGGCCTTCTTCAGCTCCTTCTTGCTGGTGGCGCTGGGGTTGCCATTGGCGTCGAAAGTGATCTCGCCGCGCTCCAGCTTGCGCTTGTACCGCTTGACACTCAAGCCGGCCTTTTCGGCCATCTTCTCAAGTTCGGTATCCTTGCCCTTCTTGGACTTGTGCTTCTTGCTCGACTCCTCCTCAGATTCGTCGGACGAGTCGTCGTCCTTGGTTCCGTTGGCCTTGGGTTCCTCGTCGGAATCAGCGTCGGCCATCTCCTCATCTGAAACTTCCTCAATGAGCTTCTTGTCCTTCTTGGAAGCAGGTTGATCGCCAGTAAGAGCATCGGCGTCGGCATTGTATCTTCTGGTTTCGTTGATCTCGAACTTCTTGGGCTGCACGGAGGCACCGTTGGGCCCGATGGCAACACCACGAGGCTTGAGAGGTTTGCCCTCCATGGCGGCCAATTTACGCTCGAGGTTGTATCTAGCTTCAGTACCGAGAGCGGCCTTGTCCTCCTCAGTGGCATCGTCATCCCACTCAGCGAGAGCATCGACACGCAGACCAAGAGAGGCCTTGGCGGCCAACACTCTTGCCATCTTACCCTTGTTCTTACCGGTGGCCTGACCGATAAGAGAAGCGTGGTAGATGAGACCGTACTTGGGCGTGTCGTGCTTGGTCTTCAGCGCACGGAACAGGGCCTTTTCGGCTCCGAGAATCTGGATAGTACTGGCGGGGCTCTTGGAAAGGTTTGTCAAGCTACCAGCGTGGGCGATGAGACGGGCACCAACCAACTCGCCAACCAGGGCGGTCAGGTTAGGCGCAATAGCGTTCATACGGGCAGTCAGGTAACCAGCCAGCTGCTGGCGGTATTCGGCGAAACCAACAACCTGCTCGGCCAACGCTTGAATGTTCTCCAAATCCTCCTGGCTGATCTCTGTACCCATGGAGCGGTCAGCAGCGGCCTTGACGGTGCCCTCAAGCTCCTCCGGAAGGATCTCTGCGAGATCCGCGGTCTCCCAGTTCGATCTCATGCCCATCTTGAGTACAAGTTTGGCATAGGCAATGTTGTCGTTCAGAATCTTGGCGAGCTCGGGGAAATGCCAGCCGTACCATTCCTTCACACGCATGGCGTAGGTGTTGAGCTCCTTGTCCAGGTCATCCAACAAACCAATAGCTTGCACAATCATAGTATCGATCTTATCGGGGGAGAACTTCAGCTTGTGTCTGGCGAGAGAGTGGGACAGACCAAGGGACATGGTAGACATGTCCTGGGGGAGAAGGCCAGGAATGAGTGTGGGAAGATGTTCGCGAATAGCACGGAAGATATCAGTCGTGGTCGAGTCCGCGACCAATTGAATAGACATGCCGGGAAGCTTGCCAATTGCGTTGCCTGTTGGGAGACATAGGATTAGAAAACTGAGTAATCTGACTTCTCAAGATGTTCATGTCACATACCGAGCTTGGGATCGGCAACGGCCAAAGAAACCTTCTTCTCATCTTTGATCTCGTCCAGCAGGCTGGCAAGGCGAGGAGTAACTTTTCCTTCCACAAGCGAAGCGACTTCTTCCAGAGCCGTAGCAGCACTGTCAAATTTCTGGAAGCTCTTCAATTTCACCCTACTACGGTGTTAGAGCACTGTTTTGAAGCGGAGAAAAAATTTTGCTCGCAGAAGCCCATGCAAGAATTGAACATCAATCAACTCTCTGACAAGGACATGACAACAGTCACTCACAAGTTTGAAACACCCTCTGCAGTGGAGGCTTCCGTAGCCAGATCGTCTCTCTTCAGAAGCTTCTTGTCTTTCGCCTTGAGCAGGGCATAGCCCGCGCTGGTTTCGGTAAGGATAAAGAGCGTCATGGTGCACGGCCTTGACTCTCAGCTGCTCAAAAATAAATCGAGTATCTGAAAGAAAAGAAGAAGAAACGGCCGAAAGTGTGTTAGCGACCGTGGGCGAAACCACCGTGGGCGAGCTGGAGGTTAGTTAATTTTTCTGGCTGTTGGCGGGAATTTTTGCATCGAAAACTAAAAAGTTGAAAAAAAGCGACCCAAGCCACCAAAGCCTGTGGCGGGTGCGTAGTGTGGCCGTGCATGCTTACATAATACAGCGGGAGTTGTGGCAGAGAAACAGCTCCAGGTGTTGGTCTGCGGAGAGGCTCAGGTAACCTCGAGGTAGCTATCAGTACTTCGAAATGGAGGGTCTCGTCTTCAATGTTAACAATGGGTAGGCTGGCTCTTGAGCTCCTCATAGCCCCATTGCATCGATTACTGATTTTGGACAGCTACATCGAGGGGATTGTCCGGGGGTATCGGAACAGCCTGCTCACCGGCCAGAACTACTCCAACTTGACCCAATGCGAAAACATCGATGGTCCGTTGATTCGACGTCTCTTCTGCCACCGTCATATGGTCTAACATGCTTTGAGAACAGATGTCAAGTTACAACTCGCCCCTGCCTATGGCGACTTCCTCGCCGCACTACCTCCCAACCCCTCCACATCTGCCCTCGCTGGTAAGATGACGGACAAGCTCGTAGCGGAATTCCGCTACCTCCTCGCCCAGGCCACGGGGTCTACCGCCAAGTTCCTGCAATACCTGACATACGGATACATGATCGACAACATTGCTCTTCTGATCACCGGCACCTTGCACGAACGGGACACGCGAGAGCTCCTGGAGCGCTGCCATCCCCTAGGGTGGTTCGAGACCTTGCCGGTGCTATGCGTCGCCACCAACATCGAGGAACTGTACAATTCCGTGCTGATAGAAACACCATTGGCGGACTATTTCAAGGGGAGTCTCAGCCACCAGGACTTGGACGAACTGAATATCGAAATCGTGCGCAATACGCTCTATAAGAACTACCTCGAGGACTTTCACAACTTCGTCAACACCCATCCGGACTTCAAGGGTACTCCTACGCAAGAGGTCATGTCTGAGCTGTTGCAGTTCGAGGCCGACCGTCGTGCAATCAACATCACTCTGAACTCATTCGGCACCGAGCTCTCGAAGCAGGAACGGAGGAAGCTGTACCCCGAGTTCGGGAAGCTCTACCCTGAGGGGTCTCTGATGCTGTCCCGCGCCGACGACCTCGAAGGCGTGTCTTTGGCCGTGAGTGTGAATGCCGACTACAAGGCCTTCTTCGACGCAGTTGGTCTCAGCCAGGGCGGCGGTGGAGGCTTCGGGATGGGTGGCAGCTCAGATGGGAAGAGTCTGGAGGATCTATTCTACCAAAAGGAAATGGAGTTGTGTAAGATTGTCTTCACGCGCCAGTTCACCCCGGCGGTGGTATACGCCTGGATGCGCCTCAAGGAACAGGTTCGTCGCTCGAGCTCAATGATAATATTCCCTTCACAGCACCGCTGACATGGTTCGCAGGAAATCCGAAACGTCACCTGGATCGCGGAGTGCATCGCGCAGAACCAGAAGGAGAGAATCGGAAATTTCATTTCTGTCTTCTAAGCTTGATTGCTCCTTGCCATCTCCATGTTAGCTCGTCCTCGCCGTCTTTCGATGCTACGCCTTTTCCCATACCGTTTCATCGCGATCCCTAGTCTCTGTTATTATTGTACCTAGTTTCAATGACCCTGTTGTCTGATTTTTTGGGCTGTTGGCTTCAGTCAAGTGCCCTCCCTATGAGCGCCCAAACTCGCTCGGCATACCCTTGCCAGTTCTTTTCGTCTTGGTCTCTGTTTGCTTGCCTCGGCGTTTGGGGGATCTTCTTCCTTGTGATATAGTATAGATGAACGCATCTGACCTTGAGCCTGAGTTTATTCAGGTACCTTTCAAGCATGTTATATGATGGGGTATTGAATGTGCTCCCAGCACAGCTCACCCTTAAATCGTAAGCTGGATTCACATATCCGGCTAATGACGGTCAAACAACCTGCCCCCGATTACTTCCGCCCACTGTTTCCTGCTCATAGCGAACCGCCAGCATGGGTTCACTGCAGGAGACGCGCCCAATAGGATATCAGTTGTCATGGAGGTCCTTATGCAGGGTGACTATGCGTTAGTTGGACTGGCACATACATGGGGCGAATGACGTCGCGAGGAATCCGGGGCTTACCTGGCTGACATTGAAAGCCCCCCGCGACGAAGGATAAGTGCAGTGTTCTTTGAGCAAGGCTAAAGAGTAATATCTTACTCTAGAAGCATTTGCTCATTTTTCTTACGCTTCTCATTATTCGAACATTTCAAATCCAATAGCCTAGACAGGTAACATATAATTGATTCGTCTTTCAAAAGCATGCTTATATCTGTTTGCGCCAATGCATCGATTGAGTAGCTTGCCACTTCACAACTGCAAGAAACAAGTAAACGCCAAGCCAGCAACAAAACACCAATGTTAAGCAGAGAGGAGGCAATGTCGAAGGTAGCCAGTGGTATCTAAAGTATAACGAGTAAAAGGTTGACTAGAAAGTTGAAATCAATATGTCCTGACTCATGAATCTTTCCTAAGATACAGAAGCATAATCGTGTCATCCACGACCTGCAATACATCATTGCAGCCGCAAATCAACGCCACGAAACAAGAGAGGCAAATCCAAGCAGTCAACTCCATTTTCTGGTCCATATAGGGGCGTAATTTCAAAGCTCATGCGTTCGCCCGTGGAGGTCTTCGTGTATATTCAATGTATAGGAGGTATATGGTGGATGGAATAGTAAGGCTTCATAAGAGTTGGCAAAGGTTGGAGACATGACAGCAGAAACCAACATCTATGTCAGAAGCAAAGGAAGAGAAAACGGAAAGACCCAAAAAGCGGCTTCGCTTCATACGTTCAAATTTTCAAAATTTCATGGAATATCTTTCATATGCGAGACATAACCGCCATAAAGCAGTGAGATATGCAGTCCCTGTTCAGTCGTATTGGAAAAGTACGCTGATGCTCTCGCCGTGGTGGACACGGCGAATGGCCTGCACAGCGTTAGGACAGATTCGCATTAGATAGAAAAGAGAACCGGCTTACCTCTGCGAAGACATGGCCAACTTCCAACACTTCCAGCTTGGGGCATCGGCGTAAGTGGTCCGATTGATCGACGCTGTTGGTAACGACGACCTTGTCGAGAGCGCTAGCGTTGATGCGGTCGATCGCATCGCCGCTCAGGATACCATGCGTGACTAAGGCATAGACCTTGGACGCGCCCTCCTTCTTCAACAGTTTTGCAGCTCTCGTGATGGTGTTAGATGTGTCGGCAAGGTCGTCGATCAGAATCGTGGTCCGATCCTTGACATCACCGACCAACATCATGGTAGCATTTTGGCGGTCTGTAATCTTCGTTGGGCGTCGCTCCTACGCACACAGTCAGCATGATAATCATACAGAATCATCAAGTGAACCGTACCTTGTGAATGAGAGCAAATTCCATTCCCATAGAATCCGCAATCGCGGTTGCTCGCTTGGCACCTCCTGCATCAGGACTGACAATGACCGCGTGTTTGTAGTTCGGAATGTTCTGCTGGATGTAGCTCTTGAGCAAAGGTCTGCCGTACAAGTTGTCGACAGGGATGTCGAAGAATCCTTGGTATTGAGGGTCGTGCAGATCCATCGTGATAATGTGGTCTGCACCAGCGCAGGTGAGAAGATCCGCCACCAGGGTACCTGCCTGAGCCACCCATTGCTTATAGCCAGGGCGAGGCTGGAAGCTGCTGATCTTGGACTGAACATTGTCGTCATTCGCCTGCCCATTGACAACAGTGGATCGAAGGCTAACCTCCGACTTCAGTGAGTCAGTGGTGTCGCTGCGCGGAGGTCCATTAGGAATGCGTTTCTTGACCGGGCTGCCGTTGTTATAATCATCAAGTTGCGCCTTTGCCAAACCCTTCTGTAGGCTATCGACATTGTTCAAGAGACCTCCACTCTCCGGCTTTCCAGGGTGCGGGGTTGGCGGGGTGCTCTCGAAAGTGTAGCCATTACCCGGCTTTCCAGCATTGGATGATTTGACAAGAGGCGCCCCAGCCTTGTTGTATGGGATATCACTTTGGCGAGAGTATGGGAACAAAGGGAGGACGGCGGTGACTCTCTTGGCAGAGGCAGTCTTGCAGGCAGAAATGGTGATGAGCAGCTCCATGAGGGAGTCGTTCACTTTCAACCCGCCAGATTGAATGATATAGACGTCTTTCTCACGGACAGACTCTTTGATTTCAACCCGAGTTTCCCCCACTGCGAACTTGGAAAGTAATACGTCGGCCGGGGGGATACCCAGGACGTTGCAGATCGTCTGAGTCAACTGGGGGTGGGAGGTGCCCCCGATAACGACAATATTCCGAACCATCTCGGCTGGCTGATGGTTCTGACTGTTTTGATCGGACTTTGGAAAACCGGAGGGATATAGAAGCAAGGGTGATATTGGATGGTCTGAGAGCGGAGAGAAATCTGGAGTGTCCGAAGAGGCGGGAAATCTGACAAGAAAAAGACGATCGGTGAGAACGGAACGGTGGAAAAGCGGGTTTTAGAGGGGAGATTGTAAACTTGAAGCGAGGGTTGACAAGCACTACCTCATGGCGGAGAATCAAGAGCGTAGACGGAGCCCGACGAATTGGACTGAGGAGACATTGGAGTAGTGGAGGAAGAAATCGAAAGGCAGGTCGTGTGAGTCCCGCGATAGAAAAAAATGCCTCTTCCGCCAGTGGAACCGGCTTGGGTCGCTGCCTCGGGTTTCTGCCGTTATGCCTCAGGCACAAAATTGCCGCATCGGGTCAAGCGGGCAGAGCTGATCTCGTCATACCCCGCGGAAAGCACAGAAGAGCAGGTAATGATGATGATGATGCATAAATATCAACAAACAGCATGACTCGGTCCATGAAATGAACAAGGTCCAAAAACACATCACCAGCAAATAACCAGCTAGTCAGCACTCTTGCTATCATCCCCAGCACAGAAAAAACAGCGTTCTGCTCTTTCTGTTACGACATGCTAGCCTGATGCACTACAAATAGAGCATGGTCATTTGCCGGTAGGTACATGCAAACTTGGAAGATAAGAAGGAAACCGGCCAGAAGAAGCGAAAGTTGAAATGCCAGAGTACTTTCATGATGATACCTAATACTCCGAGTCCCAGTTGTTGCCTAAATGAAACCCATGGTAAAAACACAGAGAAAGAAAGGTAAAGTAGATGCATGGCCGTCTGGATCCAAGGCAATGCAATTTTTATTCGCCTGTTCCTACCTCCCTTTAAATCGCAAGTCAGTATCATGCTTCTTCCTGATAAATTGTGATGAGGAGGGAAGTAGGGGAGGAAAGTGATTGCTCACAGGTCAAGCTGGACGCCATTACTGACTCCATAGTCCTCCAATGTGAGCTGATCCTTGAATGGTCGTTCGCCTTGCCGCTTGAGTAGAATCTCGTGTGGTTCACGCCCGATACGTGCAGCTACCTGGGCCTTGAAGAGCTCTGTAAATGATATTGTTGTTAGTCCAGCGTGACCACACTTGGAAGGTGAGACACAGGATAGGCAACGAACTGATAGGATCTGATGCAAGGCATGGTATCGCAGCCTTGGTTCCGAGACGATCGTTGACATGCACCACAATCATAGGTTCTGAGGATTGGGGTGCGACAACAGCCTTCTTTTCTGGCTTCTCTTTCTTTTTCTCCCGGCGCTCATCTTTCTGATTATCGTCTGGTCGTCTTCGGTCGCGATCGCGATCGCGATCGCCGTCCCTGTAACTATCTCTGTATCGATCTGAGTCTCGGTCCCTTCGTGGTGATCGTGGCCGGTCTCCTCTGTCTCTGTAACCCCGACTCAGCCTGCTATCTTCTGCTCCAGGTCTGTCACCATCGTGGCGTTTGTCTTTCCACCGGAATCCTCCTCCCGTCTTGCGAGGCCGGCTCCGATCCTCATCATATCGTCTTCTCGGTGATCTGCTTCTTGAACGGTCACCCATGGTAAAAATCGAAGTGTGAATGTGCTAGGAAGGAGTGGGACCGCCGTGGTAACATAGGTGCTGCAGAACAGACACGTGATGATGTATGGCGGCCTGGCGGGCAGCTGTACACAAGCTAGACTTAAAATAGTTTAGACCATAGGATCCATTATCCAAGCAATTAAGAGTGGTCTGTGTCTCACTCTAGACCCATGCATGTCTACATCGCGTTATGACTTACATTGTTCGCTCTCGCAGCTTCTCGCGGGAACATGCCACTTGATTGCGCCGCATAGTCACAGGTCCTATGGACTCAATTCGACTGTCAATTCCTTTTGTGAGGTCTTCAACCCTCGTTACAGATGCCGGTTCACCTGATTCTGCGGCGTCCGTCTCCGACGACCGTGTCATTTACTGTTTCCAACGCATCCAAGCATACGAGCACACCTGCTAGAGTGCTTTTCTTCCTCCAGATCTTGCTGCGGGCTCTCGTCTTTCTCTGCATAGTCTTCTTTGACATTGCGAAAGTGCGCCACTCGTTCTTTCACGAAGATGGTTCCCTCGTGCGATGGACCGCGATCTGGTCAAGCCCGTTGGGTTCTTTTGTCTGTCGCATTGTGGATGCATATAGGTCTGGAGTTGTCGCTTTGGTGAGCATATTGTTGCTCTACTGTGTGTTCAGGAAGGGGTATACAGGTATTTTCAATCCCTCGGAGTGGACGACTGTCGCACCAAAGACTCACCCCTTTTCATAAACGCAGAAGAATCTCTTTTGGTCATCCGCGGGTTGGGCATCCAGACATCTACCTCATCTGCGACCTATCTGTCTAAAGCTGCGACGAGATTCATTCCTACGACGCAGATCCAAGATATAGTGATTCATGAAGCTTTCAAAGGATTTGAAGTCCGCTTTTACCTCGCTGTGATTGTGGAGGGTGAGCCGGACGTTGTTGTGGTTTTCCCTGTATGTCCCTCCATACCAGCAATTTTTCGACTTATGCTTACAGACGATGGAAAGAAACTCCTACCGAGGCGCGCAATTCTGGAAGAGGTTTGGAGGGGTTCTCGGCGCTGTTTATATGACGCCAAATCATGAGATATTTGAGCTGGATAATATTGGGCAAGATCAGTCTATGATGCGACGCTCTATATGCTTCTGGGAAGGTATTTTCAAGCCTCCCTTTTCTAATCGTCCCCATGCGCAGGCTCCGAAGCCTTCTCAACTTTTCGCTGCTTTGACGCAAGCCACCTGGCGTTCTGAACCTCCACGGGTTCTGTCCTCCGCTTCTGCATGACGGGGACATATTTGCCGCCCATTCTGGGTTCATTAGCGCCATAGAAAACCTTTTGCCCCCGATTATCTTTCTCTGAAATAGGGTCATGAGATCCTCTACCCCGGACAACACTTTGGTCACCCTGGCTAACAGCTAGGTCTAGCAGCGCGCCTGCCAGAATCTCGTCCATCTTCCGCTGTCTCCAAACAGACCAAAGTCCGTCCACTACTCCTCCAACACCGAACTTGCCGCTGCCCTTGCCTAGTTGACTCTTGGATTGCCTGGGGTCTCCAGCGTAAATCCAGTTCAATGCATCTTTACGGCTGCCGCTTGCCTCGTCTGGGAAGATACAATCCCAGAGGACTAGCGGGGCATCAGACGCCATTTCGTACGTTGGTTTGCAAGGATTTTTCGACACATCCAGCAGATCGCGTACAATAGTTGGAGGCTCCAGTCCCTGGCCGACCAGGAAAAGGATGCTCACCATGTGCCGTACTTGATGCCACAGGAAGGCAGACCCGTGCAAATTGAATACATACACCTTAGCAGCAGCCGAATTTGTGATTGTTCCTGATTCGGCGTCCGTTCCGGCAGGTGCATCCTGGAGAGCTTGAAAGCCGGGCTGGTTCACATAGCCCAAGGGGTGATTCTTTGGATCGAGGAGCTCGATGCCTGCATGGTAGATGATTCTTTCAAAGTTCTCGATCTGCTTGCTTGTGTCAAGCTTGCAGAAATTCCGAAAGTCGTGCACTCCTTCGAAGTACCTGGCAGCTTCTCGCATGGCATCGATATCCAACCAGCCTTCCCGTAACTGTGCAGAGGCATTCTTGTCACCCGATCCTCGCATAGCAAAACCCAGCGGCCCTGGAGTTGGAGAGAAAGCAGGCTGCGTAAAGAAATATTTGTACTGGCGTTCTCTGCACGAGAAACGAGCGTCGAAACCCGGAGGCGGATTTGGGCACCAGGCTAGAATCCGGATGTCGTCTGGGAGCACTCTGTTCAGCATACTTATGTAGGGTATCTCATCTGCAATATCATCCCAAGTATCATCGGCATGGGCGCCGGACGTCATCTCAACATCGGACGTTGCCTCCGCATCCGGCCGTTTAGGCCTGGCGCTTCGTACTCTAATTCCAATGACCTGACCAAAGGCACTCACACCACGATCAGTCCGCCCGGCCTTAGAGTAATCGCAGCCCTCCCAGCTGATTGCGTAAGGTTTCAATTCCCTCGGCCCCCGGGAATCGTCGAAGGCTTCCGCGTTCTTAGGGAATATTAACCGAGTCCTCCGCATGGCCTTCCACAGCTCCTCTTCAATGGTGGGTAGAGGCGTGACGTTCCCATTCGCGTGCTCCAGACCATTGTAGCGCTGTCCCAGATATGCAAATTTCAGCGCTATGAAGCGAGTATTGTATTTGGAAGGATCGATCTCTCGAGGTTGCTTCGGAGGACGGGTAGGCGCTCTTGTGTGCGTGATATCATCGTCAGGCGATAGAGGTCTCTTCTCCTTCCCTGCTTTGGCGGGGACAAGCTCTCGTGTGTCTGTCGCTGAATGCTCAGAGGGCGGGGGAGCGGAACTCGTCACGCCGACCTCACTAACACCCTTGGACGGCAGGGTAGCGTATTCGGTGTTTCGTGAGTGAAGCTGACGCTCCAGCTCTGTGATCCGCGCGATTAGACCGGAAGTCGTCCAGGTCGAATAGTCTGGTTGGCCTTCGGGAGGCGCATCCGCGGGGCCAGGCATGGTGTTCGATTTTGCGCGACCGCGCTTCACGGATCGGGTATGGGGATATCGACAGTGAATCTTGACTGCAATGGAGTCTGTGATGCGACTCAACGTAGACAGGGGCCTCCCTGGGGTTCTCCACATTCCCCGAACGGTGTTGGACGAGGTATATTGAATCCTCTACGGAGTAGATCTGGGGGAAACTTGATGCATCAAACAAAAATTTAAGAGTCCGCCCTCGACTTGTATTTTAATGGTAATGTAATTACACCGAGCATGGTCGGAAGCTCGACGACGCTCGTGGAGACATGAATCGTGGTGCATGATTCGTAATTGATATAAGAATCGCATACGTACTTGAACGGTTCAGAAGGAATTCTGGAAAACCTCCTATTGTTGGTGGTTTGAACGGTTATGTAGCCTTGTCATGCTATCAAGGTGATACCGTAGGTATGCGCACTTGCTTTATATATTCTCCCTACGGACTCTTATCTCACCCGGACAAAAATGGACTCACTGAGTTCAAAACATCATGAGACACTGACATATATCCTCTGAAGCTTTTACCTGCCTAAACACATGATTCAAAGTCGATCCAATATATTGTCTGTCCGTGGACATGGAAAGTCCCCAAGATAATAAAGAAGTGGTGACCATCTTGGTGCTGGGAGACCCAGGATGCGGGAAGTCCACGTTTCTATCGTAAGCTTGACTCTCGTTGTTATATTTATTGAAAGGGCATTTCGCATCGATTGGAATATTACTGGATTGATGTGCATGCTCATTGAAGTGATACAGCGCCATAAAGAACATCCAAGCAAGACCCAGAGCTGAAACCAGTTATGGGCAAAGATGGCAACTGGACCTGCTGCGAGATAGTGACCAGCCATTCCTCTTCGACATCCGTTTCTCGAAGAAGTCGTTTACGCTTGAGCTATATGACACCGCAAGCCCGAACCAGCATTGGTCGACCCTGAAGCCGGACGTGGTACTCCTGGCATTCGACATCTCGAACCGGGAGACCCTGGATGGGCTCAAGAAGGTTTGTTTCAGTCAGCTCACCGATATGCCATGACTCATGCTAAGCGAATCTTGCCTGAAGTGGCGGCACGATGTAATACGGTATTTCCAGCGTGGTATTGGGGAGCGTATACCCGTCATGATGGTGGGTTTGAAGAGGGACCTTCGAAAAGAAGGCGAGGGTATCATCTATCCGCAAGAAGTAAGTTACACAATGCCCCCACGAGCCGCCTGTCGGTGTCAATGGAGAGTTAGGCGACTGATAGATGCAGTCGTACCGCATTGCGCAAGAGCTACGCTGTGATCGGTATGCGGAGTGTTCCGCTGCCACTGGGGAACTTATGGCTGAGACGTTTGAGGATCTGGCGAGACTGGCGGGTATGACTACGACAGAGACCGGGGGACAGACCCAGGGAGGCTGCGTGGTCTGCTAGATGTTGAAGCTTCAGTTGCTTCTACAGTAATGATCCTCTGGTGTTGGGATTCTTGCGTAGGACAAACGAATCTGCGCAAAGGGCGCTGAGTGTCTACGTCTATACTCCCCATGGAGCGATTGCTGCTTGCCGACTTTACGAAGACACAAAGGTAGTTCTGATACAATGCACAGAATAGCTGGTAGCACAATTTTTCATTTACTTAGCAACAAGGAGAAACCAAGGTAACGATCAAGTCCACCTTGTAAATTGACAGCACAGGGCTTTCCCCCAGAAGCTCACTGATACGAGAACAACTGGATATCTTTCCCTCATAAGCGCCAGTCAATGGTTGACGTTGCAATTCCTCCCCGGTGCGTAAAGAAATCAGAAGTAAAGTAACTGATGAAACGGAAATTTTTTGTTTGCGCTGTAGCATACCAAGAGATGTATAGAAGATGTGAGATGGTGAGGCGCCCGTTGAAAAGCTTCTTTTGATCTTTTTTTCTCATTTCGCAAGTTCCTGAACAAGAGACTAGGGTAGACATGCCAAGAGATTTTGGCGGAAGGACTCTTATGAGTTCTCGTCATCATTCGGATTGTGCAAATGATTATTCGCGTCAGTCGCCTAGACGTCGGACCCCCTCCAATGCGCCATACTTTTGTAAGGAAAAGAAACTGATTCTCCTCAACGGCTGCCCTTGTCACCAGTTCATATCATCTACCACTTGGCCTCGGCGGGCTGGGTCTCAGCCCAGCTCTCACCGGCAGGAGCGGCAGAGCTGGCGGCCCAGTCACCACCGTCAGCCTCCCAGCTGGTGGGGGCAGCAGTGGCAGCAGCGAAGGCGGTGCCAGGAACACCAGCACCAGGAGCCTGGGTATCCCAGTTCTCACCAGCGAAGCCGGACTCGACGGCACCGGCGCCAATTTCCTCAGCACCGGGGACCTTGGTCTCATCGGCAATCTCCTTGTTCTCCTCGGCCTCAGGGTCACGGTAGAAGTAGAGATCGACAACAACGTCCCACTCGGTCTCACGAGTGGCGAGAGTACCACGGAGACGGAGAACCTCACGGGCAAGCAACCACCAGATCAGACCGATGGCGTGACGACCCTTGTTGTTGGTGGGGATGGCAACATCAACGAACTCGGTGGGGGAGTCAGTGTCGCAGAGAGCGATGACGGGGATGTTGACGTAGCTGGCCTCCTTGATGGCCTGAGCATCGGTGCGAGGGTCGGTGACGATGATGAGGCGGGGCTCCTTGAAAGAGCGGGTGATGTAGTTGGTGAAGTTACCGGGGGTGAAACGACCGGCAATGGCGGTGGCACCGGTGTGAGCAGCGAACTTCAGGACAGCACGCTGGCCGTAGGGACGAGCGGAGATAACACAGATGTCGGCGGGGTTGTCAATGGCAGCGATGATACGAGCAGCCAACAGGATCTTCTCCCTACAAATTCGCGATCCCCGTGTTAGAGCCAGTCACCAAAGTCCCGATAATCAAAAATTCAAGGCTACATACCAGGTCTTGCCAATGTTAATAACATTGACACCGTCGGGACGAGTCTTCCAGAGGTAAGGCTCCATGTGAACCTGAAGGTTCTTGGAACCCAGGTGGCATTGAGCTGCGAGGAGCATCTCAATGTCCTGGGGGGTGGGGTTGAACATGGGAGGGAGCTGAGAGGGAGCCATTTTGGTCGATTGATATTGTCAAAGACGGCGATTTGAATATATCAATCGTCTGGCGCTTGTCGTGCTGGTGATGGAGGAGGATGAGGCCGACGCGAAAGATGTAACTTTTGCTCGCCGCGTGCTGAGATGAATTTCGCTTGCCGGTTGTGAGCTTTAGGGCTAGGGTTACCCGATATCGTAAGGTCAAATACCTGTTTGTACCGCCCGCGTAATTCTTCTGTATCGCTGTAATCTTTGAGGCTCCGATCCGCCGACCTTATCACGTGAGGTAGCATTCCCCATCAGGACTAGTGCATGTCGGGCGGTCTCGAGATTTCGTTTCAGCAGCATCAAAAGTCCAAAAGCATTGCTGAGGGCGTGATAGCTAGCAGGCTCAAGGGATTGGCAATTGATCAAGATGCCTCCACGATTCCTTTCCCAGCCGGTTTTCAAGGCCTTTACAGGTAAGTTTACAGAGATTTTCTCTCTTGTCCCTTCTCATTTTATTGAGAGTTGAACTGACAAACTTAGGGTCTTCGCATGTTCATAGTCCACTTGCCGCATTGTCATTAAACCCATCCAAGACCTCTGTACGAGCCGGGTCTGCGGAGACTCGAGAGCGACGGCGACATGATCCGTTCCTAATGGCCCAATCCCGTCAACGGAAGGCTGCCAATCTATCTCGTCAACAAGCCCTTGCTCGAGAGCGTGAAGAGTCCCTTGGCAATCCGGTGGAAAGCAAACCTACCCCTTTCATCGAGGAGCTGAAAGGCACGAAGGCTCCGACCTCAGAAGATGCGGCCCTCAACCATTTTATCTCGCCGGAAGGACTTCAGGAGGCGCTGGAATACTCGAAAAACTTGACATCACCGCTAGAAAACCCGGACCGGGAAACGGCAGACCCTCAACTTGAAAAGGAGGCTGCAGAAAGACATCTCGAGGAACATCGAAACGCTCAAGAAGCGATCAGCCGTATCATCAATATCAACAACGGAAACACCAAAGACCGCACTCGTCTGCTCATACAGAAATGCATTGATACATTCGGAAGACATAATACCGACAAGATCCTCCCACCCAAGCCCACAGCTGTCGCTCAGGACTCCTCCACTGTCCTTCCCGAGAAGACGCCCAGAGTAGGCCCAGATACTGGCTCTCCCGAAGTCCAGGTCGCTATTCTGACCGCAAAGATCATTAACTTGTCCAGACATCTCCAATCGACCAACAAGGACAAGCACAACAAGCGCAACCTGAGACTACTGGTTCACAAGAGACAGAAACTGCTTCGGTACCTGCGTAGGAAGGAACGGGGTGGACCAAGGTGGCAGCATCTTATTGAAACGCTCGGCCTGTCGGACGCTGCTTGGAAGGGTGAGATCAGCATGTAAAGGTTTGCCGGCGTGCTTGTATTCTATTTCATTTATATTCTCTGTTCTCTACACTGAGGCATGTGTGTATGTTATGGCACTTGCACTCTCCAGCGCTTTTGAGGTGATCGCGCTGTTCCTGCTTAGCTTGGCCCTCTTATTGTCCACATAAGAGAGACCTGAATGTACAAATATAACTCCTCATCGATATCCCTGACTGTCACTTATACCTGAAGAGAACACCGTCATATGGTGTCGATTTAGTCCGGAATGGATGAATTCGCTATCTGCTCCGTGCTCAAGGCTGGATGAGCAGACTTGCTGTGTACAGTTCATCCGAGACGACATTCAAATAGAGTCAGCACAGTGCTGGGACTTCAGCTAGTATTATTTTACATGTCCATTGCCACTCCTACTATGTGGACACAATGATGTATATCGCGCTGTGCGATGTCTGAGCGGAGAAAGGGCGGAGGAATCTGACCGCCTTTTTCCATAATTCTGCCGGAACGTCACCCGAATTTCGTTTTCCACTTGCAACACTCACAAACACAACTTGAGCTTCCGATGCTGTTGTAGCGCATTCACCACTCGACAACAGCATCACCATCGCCTGGTAAGTGAATATCACTAGGTCGCTAACCCTCGAGCAGGTGCAAGGCGAAACCCACAAACGCAACATCAAAACAAATAAATATCCCCTCGTTCCCCCGTCTCTCTCCTACTTTTTTTCTCCTCACCACAACACATCTAGCCCTCAATCATCATCTCACAACTCACTGTCCACGATTTGTCTTTTCTACAAATCTTCTAAACTCACAGATATCTACTCTTGCAAGTATCATTTCGATTGCATCTGCAAACTCAATTTTACTTGATCCATTTCACCTGTCAGATCACGTCGCGGTATAATACTGCCTTGGTGCCGTTCTTTCAGTCGGTTGTTGTTCTGCTTTGCAGTCTACAGTCAAGATGCGTACTCGCTCGCAGCCGCTCTCACCTGGCGGCCTCGTCGCTCTCGAATCCGAACCTCGTCGGACGAGATCTACTAGAACTGCAACTCTCAGACAGGGTAGTGCCGAACCTGCATCACAACCTACCACTCGATCGACGAGAAGCGCGAGCCTTAGACAGCCCAGTACTGAACCTGCATCACAACCTGCTACTAGATCTACCAGGAGTGCGAGCAGACAGCCCAGTGCGGAGCCTGCAACAGAGTCTAGTACTCGATCCACCAGAAAGGCACGCACCAGACAGTCTAGCGCCGAACCTACTACACAGACCACATCCCGCTCCCGTAGTCGACGTGCCGGCAATGGCGTAATAGCGTCTATAGAGGAAGCTCCGACGACTCAGACTCGAACCCGGAAGACCTCGACTCGTCGATCGACGCGACAGTCTACTCGGAAAACGTCTGATGACGAAACAGAACCGACCGATGCCGAACAAGCGTCCCAGCCTGGATCCGTTGTTGATGAAACGAGCGCCGCACAGGAACCCCCGGAACCCCAGGACTCCGAGCCCATCCCTTCGATTGGTGAACATGCTTTGTCTGAGCCTAAAGCATCGGACAGTGAGTTGTCCTTCATTCCTTTGCCTGAAGCAGTTGTTCCTGAGCCTTACCCTGAGCCTTGGCCCTCCTCACCATCTCTCTCCCCCTCACCCCCTCTCCCACATGTTTCACTGCCATCCTCGCCTTTACGCCCGGACACGGAATTCCCGCATAGGAGCCGAGCTGCGGCACCCTCTCCCGAGGCCCCATCTCCACAGGGAGCGGAATCGTCGAAGACTTTCGTCGAAGATGTTTCCGGTGCTCCTGCAGATACCTGGTATCTGGATCCGCTCGAGGACATAAGCGACATTGGGTCGCCCCTTTCGGAACGGTCTCACACACCGGACCTCGAGATGGAGGATTCTCCCCCTCTCAGGTTCGTGCTCAAAGAGTCTCTTCTGGCAGACATTGATGCCTGCCTCGCCCGCCACAAGCAAGTGGAGTTGGCTGCAGCGCAAAATGCTGCCAGAGATGACTCGGACAGCATCATGGCCGACGAATGTGGATCCGATGCAAATGTCGTCTTGTTGTCCTCTGAGGAGTACAACACCCAGCCACCTGCCGTGACGGAGGCCTCAACTGGGTCAACGATCGCTGCGCGGTTGTTCCTCGCGGCCATGGAAGGGATAAAGTTCGAGGAAGAGCGATACTGCCGTTCGCCGATGTCGGTCTGCAGTCAGTGCTCTTCGGAACTCGATGACTTCCCCATGGTCGTTGAGGAACACACCGCCCCAGTCGACGTGTCGTGGATCTCCTCAGGCGAATCTTCTCGCGAAGGTTCCCTGTCTCCTCTGTCTCCTGTCGATCGCGACGAGGAGGTCCCGATTCCGTCGATTGTTGCGGCTGTGTCGTCGTCAATTGACAACGAGGTTGCTGCCCTGATCCAGAGTTTCTCTGGATTGTGCTTGGCGGATACAGCCTACGGCGGCACGCCGGCAGCATCCGCGACTCCGTTGCTGAGCTATATACCGGCATCAACAGGTCAAGTCCAGCAGGACGCGACCTTCGATATCCCGACTGAGTTGGGTACGACGTCCACCTTTAGTGATGGGCGGTTGGTGTCGGCGAAGGTGTCCGAATTGAGCCCGGGCCCTTCGCGATCCCGTCCGGCGGCCGCGGAAGTTGACAAGTCACGTCAAGTTAGCCGTTCCGCGCGGAAGAATGCCGCGCGATGGGCGCGTGTGGCTCTCTCTCCGATTCCAGAGGAGTCGGAGGTGATGAGCTCCCGCTCAGGCTTGGGTGTTGGTGCCACCAAAGAGAGCGTCGACCCACCATGGTTGTCTCTCTCGGCTACTCCTCACCTGTTGGAGTTGTTAGGTTGTCGGAGAGTCGAGGCAGAGGCCCAGGAACCCGCCAAGGAGCCCGCCAAAGAGGAAACGAGGCTAACACCTCGAAAAGTGAACAGAAAACGTCCCCGTGACGACGGGGCCGAAACCCCGTCGTCCAATAAGCGGCGGAACGTGGGACCCCCCGGAAGCACCCCCTTTGCGCGCCGCATGACTCCGCTGTCCCGGCGGATCACATACAACGCCGCCCCCTACTCCGAGCGGCTTCGGCGGCGGACGATCGAGAACCAAGGCCGGATTCACAAGACGGTCTTCCGCCTCCCCCAGTTGCTCGCTCAGAACGAAGCCGACCGCCGGGCAGCGGAGTCAAGCCCCGTCAAGCCGTGTACGGAGCCTCTCCAGATGAACCCCGAATCTACCGAGAAACAGAGCAAGCCAGACGATCAGGATGCATCAGATGTGTCTGCCACGGCCGAGCCTCCTTCTACCCCTCAGGCAAGAGGTTGGAACATTCGCGGACTGATCAACTCTGTGCCTCGTTCCTTCTCCCGTTTGCTTCCAAGATTTGGTCGGTCTCAGACGTCTGAACCTCCAGGTACGTTTTCTCGCCCTATTGATTTTTCACTTTTTGTTGGTGATTCAGTGCGCCTGGCTCACCAGACGCAGCACCATCGCCAACCCCACAGTTGCCTTCAGAGCCGTCTTTGCAGTCATTGTCGCAAGAGCCTCCAGTGTCATCATCCCAGCCGTTGCCAGAGCGTCCTTCTCACACCAAGGTTGTCGATTCGAATCAGAATGCTACCCAGAGCGATAAACGCTCTCGCCGTCGCTTGAGCGAGCAGCCGCCCAGCAAACGCCAGCGCACCTTGTCCTACTCCCTCTTCCCGGCTCCGATTGACCGTGCTCGCTTCCTTGGAGATCTGACTACTACTCCTAAGAAAACCTCCCAAGCCGTTCAGCCAGAATCACGTCTAGATGAAGCAGAGAAGCCATCTGCGGCACAGGACCAACCTCCATCGACTTCTCAAGTGACAGAGGTCAGTGAACAGCGGGCCTTGCCTCAGACCGCTGAGGACGCTACTCAAAAGAAGCGCAAGCGGTCCCCGTCGCCTGATGTCATTCCCAACCCGGCCGGATGCAGCTATGGATTGGACCTGGATTATTTCTGCTATAGCTCTGACAGCGAAGAGGAAGCCGATGTGCAACCCCAGCAGGCTGTACCTCCTACGAAACCTGATGCTCTAGTCAAATCTGCCGTTCGCAGTGCTATGCGGTCGGAACAAGGGCCATCGAAGAGGGTGCGTTTCGATGCCAGCCCCGAGGATACTCCTTCTAAACTTCGCACGCGTCCTCGTGCCACGGACCCCTATACGGGAAGACACTTTATCGGCATGGGCGATGCTGCTCGAGTGACGGCGCCTGGTTCCCCTGCCGCTGCGCCCGCAACACCAACTCCCGCTCCTCGTGTCGATTTGTCTACTCCTCAGCGGTCCCCGGGTTTCATTCCCAACAAACAAGGCACGTTCCAGCTGGATTACGATGCTTTCTCTGACGATTCAGAGTCGAGCGGCGCGCCTTCTCCAAAATCCCCCGCGGCCAAGTCTGTCTCTGAGACTCAAACCACCACTACCAGTACAGAAGTACAAGAAAGGTATTTTGCTGACACCTTCAACTCAAGCCCCATTGCCATTCATCTAACATTGATCTTTGCGGTGTAGTGTGCAATCGCCTGCTCCACGTCCCACGCCACGCCAAGCATTGCCTCCTTCTACCCCAGCCAGAGTTGATCAGGAAGCTCTCGCCAGAGTCCGTTCTCAGGCCGAAAAGTACAAACCCAAAACACCTAGTGGGCTCCGCACTGCTAGTCGTTACTCAAGTCCTCTGACCGCTTCGCCTGTTGTCAATCAACAACCGCCTGTGGAGACTTTCGGCGACGATGATCAATTCGCTCGTGATGCTCAGTGGCTCTATGAGCAATGCTCAACTGGAGATCTCCAGCAGCTTAAATGGCCGGAACCCAATACTCTCCAGAAGAGCTTGGGCGTTGATGACGAGATCGTTCAGATGGTCGCCAGCGTGTGGGACGCATCTGCTGTGGACGAAGTTCACCGTGCTTTCCGTCAAAGTTTGGAGGAATTTACGAAAGCTCAAGCCTAGGCTGGAGTCATGTCATCAGGGTGACGAAAGGTTCTAAACGGTCTTGCTTTGTCTTGATACCTCTTGATTTGTATGGTTATTATGTTGCTGTGTTTTTTTGTTTCCATCTTCCGTCTACTGAGCATAGCCTGTTTGGCCCCCTTCCTGCTTTATGGAATCGTTATGGGCCCAGACCATGTTTCAAGGTGTTTTCTGCGGGATTTCGGAAGTCGTTTGTGACTTGCGTTTTGTTTCATTCTCTGAGCAACCTCCAGCGGCCTCCTCCAGCCTGTTGAGACTGGAGTTTGTAGGCCTCCTCGGTGAAGGTCTTTTCATGAAATTTATGAAATCGAATCTGACTTGTTCTCTTGTTTTCAACTGGCGGAGTCCAGTGCATCATTGTTTTCTTCTCGAAGCATGTGGCATAAGCAGGAGATTTTGTTTTAATTTTGTAGCCAGCGGCGCTTTTGAGCTTGGCTTTCGCAATGAACCTGGCAATGGGAACAGTATTCGCATCTGTCCTATCTGCATCGGATTAAGGGATTCATCTGCCTCTATGACGGCACCTGCATGAGTTTGGTTCTGAGATCTTCGTAATCCACTACGGCATGTTCAGTTTCCTTGTCTGTGAACAAGGACCATGTCGATTGTCACGACCCTCAACCCTTGAGAAAGAATCATTCTTCGACAAAGCCATACTCATCCTTTATCACTAGACAAAGAGAAGATTGCATTTACAAGACAATGAATGCATGCCGCCATCCGATTCAGTATATATGCTCTGCTCTTCTATCCCTCTCACCTTCTCTCTAACCAGCTTCTACCATTCATCATCACTAATTCACAAGACATCAAACCCATCAACCTCCCCATCGTCGTGAAACCAGTCCTATCTATAAACCAACCGAAGCATAGGCGATGTGCTACTACATGCCCAATAAACCCCCATGCACCTGCACCTACCTCCAGCTAATCCAGCCCTGCCCACAAGTCCGCGTCTTCGCTGTCCCGCGAAGCCCCACGCCCCTGATCCAAGTCTGTCCTATCCGGTACATCGCACGCGGCGTCGGACAGCGCTTCTGCGCCCTGTGCAGCCGGACTGCGGATTTTGGCGGTAGTACCTCGACCGCCGCGGTTGGGCTGGTGGGATACCCAGAACAGCAGGGATTTGGGGGCTCGCAGTTGGAACCATCATCTAAACAATCGCAGCAGCAGGCTACGCCTATTGATCCGTGTCTTGTTGGGGGAGGGATTTCGATTGGGGATTTGTTGCTCCCGATGGGGGAGGAGAGTACGGGGGAGTTGGGGACTGCTGGGGATGCGGAGAGGAGGGATGAGGAGGAACCGAGCGTGCAGGGCTCTTGTTCTTCGGAGTTATCGATACAGTCGTTGCTGGTGCAGGATGAGGCGGGAGGAGGGTTGGTTGAGGATGCGGTCTCGGGTGCGCAGGTTGCTGAAGTGCCAACGGTTCAGGCTGCGCCTGTGGTGGAGGAAGAAGAATCAAAGAAGGGAAACGAGGAAGTGAGAGATAATCAAAAGGAGGATAAGAGAGATCATGCCAAAGAGGTTGGAGGGACTGATCTCGAGAGAGGGGCTCCTGTCCAGGGGATGCAGATAGTTCTTGACCTGGATGAGAAGTCTTCTGAAAGCAGACGAGTTAACTGGTAATTCGGTAAATGAACTCACAGGGCAAAGAAAAAGTATCTTCAGAAGACTTGCCAAGAAAAGTTGTTTTGTATGTACACGGGAATCTATCTGGGAAGAGCTCTAGGTATACATTCAGGTATCAAGATCATACAAAACCAACGGATATCGTGTGTATATGCGAGGTATCTCAATCAAATCCCTGGAATTCCTCCTCGTCGTCACCATCAGCTTTCGCGCCTGCGGCTTTGGCTGCCGCTCGTCTTAGTCGTCTTTCTTCCTCGTTCTTCTTCCTCAGCTCCTCAACCATCTTCTCCGTCTCAAGAACCTTCTGTTTTTCTTCCTCCGTCATCTTCTCCCATCTCGCCTTCTCGTGCTTCGATTTCTTCTGCTCACGTCGCTTGAGCTTCTTGTTCTTCGACTCGGCCTGTTGGCTCCATGCGACACTTTCGGTGGCTCGTCTCTTGTTTGACGTGGATTGAGTGGCACCAGACTCGGCGGCCTCTTGGAGAAGCTCCTTCCGCCGTTTCTCTCTTTGCTTGTCTTTGTATGCGTAATTGTTCCAGTCAAGGCTCACGCCGAGCGTCTTGTCACCGGTGAAGTTCCTCAACTCGGGCATCTTAGGCAATTTCAACAAGCCCCATGCTTTGCCCAAAGCTTCCCAATCAAGGTCAGAGACACGGAAGATACTGCTTGCCTGGTGCTTGCTGTAGCTTCTGAACCAACTGACAAAGGCCTTCTGGCCTCGGTCATGCAGCGCACGATCAGCCAACACAGCCTTACGGGCAGTGGCCGTGGCAGCGGCCGCATCAGCGTCAGAGAAAGTAATCAATGGAGAGAATGGAACAACAGGTGTCTTCCGAACTTCTAGGAAAGAAACATAATCTTCTTCTCGTCCTGGATGCAAAAGTACTACACTCAGACCCCTCCGGCCGGCTCTTCCAGCACGGCCGCATCGATGAATGAACGACTTCGGGTCTGATGGAGGGTCGATTTGAACGACGAGATCGACAGACGGGATATCCAACCCACGCGCAGCAACATCAGTGGTGAGAAGAATGGCTGGATCGTGCGAGTTGATGAAGCGGTTGAAGTTCTTTTGGCGGACATTTGCCTGGTGTTTGCCGTGCAGTGGAATCAACAGGAAATCGTCACCGAGCAGCAGTGGGAGGATTGCGGACAAATAATCGACACCAGAACAGGTAGAGACGAAGAAAATCGTTTTCAAGGGAGTGGGCTGAACTGAAGAAAGGATGCGTTTCAAAGCGGCGAATTTGTGCGAGGGGGGCGTCGTAAGATAGGTCATTTGCAGACTGGTACAATTGAGTTAGACCACTGTTCAAGTATAAAGTAGAGAGGCACCAACCTAGCTGGAGTTCGCTTATCGTCAACGCCTGAGCCACCCTTGACCTTGACCATGACCTTGACAGGATTTCGCAAACCGACTCGGACAATCTGGTCAACGGCCTCGCTAACACTGGCGCTGAACAAACCCGTTCGTCTCTGTTTGGGAAGCCGGCGCAGAATGTTCTGCAAAGTCTCTTTAAATCCCAGGTCTAGCAGTCGATCGGCCTCGTCAAGAACCAGCATCTCGAATGAGGATTGGGGACAGTGGACGTGAGGAGAAGAAAGCAATTCCAGAAGCCGTCCAGGCGTGGAGACCAACACATTCGGTGAACGCTTCAGGAACGTACTCAGATCTTCTGCAGGAGTAGTCGAACCGCCGAGGAGGAGCTGTGGAACGACTTTGAGAGTAGATGAGGGGAACTTAGGTCGAGGGGCATCGTCGTCTTCGGAGGGGTTGATCGCAGCGGCTGAAGGAGGATGGAAGGCGAGTAATGATGATAGTACATTGTAAATCTGTGATGCAAGTTCTCTAATCACATACTCAGCATCGAGCTTTTCCACAGTTCTGGCTGCCGCGCGCCCTGAAATCAATGCCTACCTTGTTGGTGAAATGATGATGGCTCCAATATGATGTTTCTTGATGGGTTCTTCGAGACGCAAAAGCTTCTCTACAACCGGGATTAGAAAAGACAGCGTCTTACCGCTGCCAGTGACTGCCTCCACTACGACATCCTTATGCGCCATGAACAGAGGAATAGCGGATGCTTGCACTGGGGTCATGCGGGTAAAGCCCATTGAGGACATTGCTTCTAAGACCCATTCTGACAGGGCTGGTGTCACTGCATCCCAGGCCCTGGATGAAGTGCCTGAAGGTGGTTTTGGAGCCATGACAGCAGCCGAGTGCAGAATCGGACCTTTCAGTTCGACCCGATGATCAGCAACGATTGCCCAGACTGATGCAGGAAAAAAAATAGCTTATCAAAGCGATCGCCGATTAGATATTGAGGCGGTGAGTACTTTCTGCCAATTTACACGTGATCGCCTGCGGATTCGGCGGAATCACAAGCCTAAAGGTACCAGACAGAAATAAAACCGAAGAGGGAAAAAAGCAACCACGAACACATAATACTCGGATAAAAAATCTGATTTGCAAATTGCTTTCCGAGTACCTACCGAGTGCTTCTCATTTTCTCAGATATTTATTTGTCAGTGCTGTCTTTTTGCCGGTCAAGTGACCATGTCGATCTCTCTCTAATCCACAGAAACATGCGCAGCCGCATGTCTGCCTTGGGCCAACGTCTTACGGGATAAACCAACTTTCTATTCACACACACCTTATTCATCATCTCGTCGCCCATCATTGCGTCCTTTGCAGCTGACAGATTTCTCTTCCTTGACGCGCTTGTCTGCGACTATAACTATCTGCGCCAGCGACCTCTGTCCGGGCTGATACTGGCTCCGGCCCTTCCGCCTTTCGCTATAAGAGCGGTCGAAATGCCCTCTTCTTCTGCCGACGACGTCCCGGCAACTCCCCGAGTCATATCTCCTTCGCCTGTACCGTCGAGTGAGTCAAGCTCACGGGATGATTATGCCGGACCGAGGACTCGGTCGGCAGCGCGACGCCAGCGTCTGGTAGATGTATCCGAGGAGAGAAGCGAAGACGTGGATGCGGACTCGAGTCGGTCGCCGACCAGGTCTCGCAGTCGCAGCCCAGCAGCTCCTGTTCGTTCAACTCGCACGCGGCGATCTAATCCCATGATACCGGCCAGGAAACCGGAGCCTTTGAAGACCAACGGCCGCATATCGCCCATCGACTTCCTGTCACCTAATTCCGCCCTGGGCAAAGGCCGCGCACACGACATCTCTCGTTCACCCTCACCTCTGGGCTTGATCCCCCTCCACACTCGCTACCGCAGCTTCATCCATCGTCACGAGATACCGCGCAAGCTCCTCCATGGCTCGATCGGCTTCCTTACCCTTTATCTGTATAGCCGAGGCGTCCAAACCCTCCAAATCACCCCATGGCTGCTCTCCGCTCTCGTCCCCATCGCCGCGACAGACATCATCCGCCATCGCTCCGAGACTTTCAATAAAATCTACATTCGCTGCGTTGGCGCGCTCATGCGGGAGACGGAAGTGTCGGGCTACAACGGGGTGATATGGTACCTGCTGGGCGCATACAGCGTTCTGCGTTTCTTCCCCAAGGACGTGGCGGTCATGGGTGTCCTGCTCCTCAGCTGGTGCGACACCGCAGCCTCCACCTTCGGCCGTCTCTACGGCCGGCGCACGTTCCAACTGCGCAAGGGCAAGAGCTTTGCTGGTACCCTGGCCGCCTGGGTCGTCGGCGTCGTCACCGCCGCTGCTTTCTGGGGCTGGTTTGTCCCCCACGTCGGGACCTTTCCCAACGATCCCGAGGGTTCGTTCATGTTTACCGGCCGTCTGAACCTACTCCCGGATCCTATCAGGGGTCTCCTAGGTTGGACTGCCGATTCCGATTCCTCGCGCGGAGTCATCACTGGCCCGCTGGCACTGGGTGCCATGAGTGTTGTTTCCGGTATTATCGCCGCCGGAAGCGAGTTCATCGACTTGTTCAGCTGGGACGATAACTTCACTATCCCCGTTCTTAGTGGAATTGGGCTGTGGGGATTCCTGAAAGTTTTCGGTTAACTTTGCTCGCTCTTTCTATTCGACCTTGATAGACATATACCTCTTTCCTAGGAATGCCGAGGTCGGGCCTGTCAATTTTTCTCTGATGCCCTTATTCACTGTTCTCCTGTAGCTCATATTTATACCACTCTATACATCGGTCCGTTACTTTTCCTTGACAGGTCTACGAGAATAGACACCTTGGATTCCCTATAGACTGGGATGGCCATATACGATGGGACATCCGCAATGGTTGTTTCAAACCCCCCGTCGATGGGCGCTTCCACTGTTGCTTGCTTGAAGATTCTCTCCAATCTTATTATGATTTCCTTCATCGTCGCAATCACTGCGACGTGTGTTATGAAGGGATATGTACTTAATTATAGAGCCAAATGAGAAACAACGAGCCCCAAATGACATGAAATTAGACTCCAATATCCTTGGTATCCCCATAGACGCCAGAACACCGCAATTTGAGTGCCAATAAGTCAACTTTGAAGTCGGCAAAATTCAGCTCAAGTCCAGAATGCTCACACGCGGGATGCGCTTCTTCTTTCTCTTTTCGTCACTGTTGGACGAGTCACGCTCTGTCTCCTTTGAAGCCAGCTCAGATTGGGACTTAGCCTCAGTCGTCCAGAACCCACCGCACACAATGACCGATTCCAGATGTGAGGAAGTCTGGCGAGGCCTTGCCACCTTACTGCCCGATTCAACTCGCTTTTCCTCCTTCGTTGTCGGCTCGAGCGCATCATCCGCGCACGGGTCCATTACCAACGTCTTTGGAGCACTTGGCAGCAGGCGTACACCGGGGGCCTTCACACATGAATGGTTTGCGGTCGGAGAGACGAGCTCCTTTGTTCGAGAAGAGCGCGTTGTTTGAGCTTCAGCGGCGAGAGCATGAATTTCATGAATTTTCAGCCCACTTAGTGGTCGAGCTTTGAGGCGGGTCGGTGTTTGCGCCAAACTGTCGAACTGTTCATAAGGGCTTTCATCACTGAGTGTAACCGCAGACATAATGTCCTCCAACTCCT